GAGGAATTAATTCCCCAGTGCATCTCAAAATGATCATTTCTTCTGATCTGAACATTCTTTCTGCCTAATACTTCCAAGATGCAGAAACCAGTAATGTCCCTCAACCACAAGAACTCCTTCCTTCTTTCTTCACAAGGAGCAGTTTTGTAATAACTGTCAAAAACCCCAAAACTCTTTGAACAATTGAATTTGTTGGAAACAGAAAGCATTAAAAGCAAAACACTTATATGGAAATTATGCTGTGTGATATCCCTATAAAGTAGAATAAAAAGTCAGTAATTCTGCTCAGCTTAGCATGTAGTAGGATCCATTTGCTTTCACACAAAGGCTTTGACTTTGCTGGTTTTCCTCTGTTTCAGAGCCAAGAAAGCTGAAGTGAGAGACAAGGGAGGGCTCAGCCTCACATGAGACACCAATGGCAGCAGCAGCTCAGCTGCCAATGATCAGCTTTTCTGCCCTATTAGCATCAAGTTTCGAAACAGCATTTTCCTGACTCAGGATTTTTACAAGACAGCAACTGGAATGAGAAATTGTTCTTTCATTACATATTGCAGGTAAAAGTTTAGTTTTCAAATAATTCCTAAAACCCCAGGCACAACAATCCAAAAATTCTATAACAGTCCATCAGATCAAACTGTATCTCTGAGAAAAAGAAAAAAAAAAGGGAAACAAGAATGAAGAGAGCAATAAATTCTCCCTTTGCAGAACATGACTAAAGCTGTAGACACAGGTAGGCCTTCACTGCAAGGCTAAGCACTGGACCACCTATCTTCATCTCATCCTCCAATGGGAAACAAATCTCTTTTTCCAATATTTAACTTGCTCTGAGCTTACAAGTATTAACTGAAAACAGTCCCCAGGACAACAGTGACACTTCAGTCACAACACAAGTTTTCTGAGGCACACCCAGCACCCCAAACTGGCAGGGTGTCCTCACATCACTCAAATTCTGCTGGTACAGAACCTACAAACACAGTCCAGCTGGTGGAACTCTGTGTGTCACATGCTATCACACAAAAGGAAAAAAATGATACAAAGGCAATTCAGAGGGAATTCCATTCCACCTTGCAGGTTTCACTTCATCTGTCAGGTACCCCGTATGATTACTATAGTTATATTTATTGCTGGACACCCATGGATATGCATTGACTGTAACAATGAGCTACTTTATGACAACTCCATTGAAACAATGGTAAGGAAATAAGCTACCAAAAGGATGCAAGTGAAAATGAAAAGCAGAGCTTTGGTACAACAGAACTGGAAGAACATTCTCAGCTACAAAATCTGACTTCTCTGAGTTCCTATCACAGTTTGGGCCTTATTTAAAATGAACTAACTGTTTGAAAATAAGTGTTTTTAAAAGGCTGTTTGTTCATGTATGCTCCTGAACACCTTTCTCTTGCTTCTTGGCATACTTCCTGCCCTTTCCTCTTTGGGATCTTGGGAATGTGAAGACATTAAAGCCTGTACATGCCTGGCTTTGAAGTATCTGACTTCCTGCCTAAGCATATTTACACCCCTGCTCCTTGCCAGACTGTACATCACCTGTGCCAGCTTCATGCCTGTCATAAAATGGGTGGCTGGAATAACCAGCCAGTGCAGCTGTTTGCCTGAAGATGGGCAGAAACATGCCCTTCAGAAACCAAGCTCCACGAAACAAAGCAATGACACTAAGAGCAGGAGAAATACAGAATAAGGAATCACTACCTCTTCCTAGTGCAGTTTTCCTCAGCTGTTACAAATGAGTTTATTGCCTCACCCCAAATTCCTCTTTTCCTCCAAGCTCAGCTGTCTCAAGAAAGACTTTTTGACGTGTTAACTTTGACACAAACCAGAAGGAAACGAGCAATGGTAACAAAGAGCTCCATGTTAATAAAAACAGCAACAAAACTGAAGCAACTGACAATGGAGATGTGAGGACAAAGCTCCATGCCAGAGATGGAGTTCAGAGTGAGCAGAACCCGAAGCATGCAGCAGGGAGAGCGAGTCACACGAGCACTGCCTCACCTTCCTCTTGTCCAATGAGGGTATGGCTACCCCATTGGAGCGGTTAAGGTCTGACACCAGCACCTTCAGAATGTTCTGAATCTACAGGAGGCGAAAGAAAAGGGGAAAGAGAAACGGCTCAGAGAAGGACAGAGAGAAAACGTCAATCCAAGGCAGCCAAGGAACCAGCCTCGTGCAGCTGCTGAGGACCACACTCTGCCTCAGCACAGCAGCTCTGGGCACACCCAGGGCACCACCAGACAGACTCTGGTGCCAGCTGCACCCTCCAGAACAGGCAGCTGCCAACTGCTGCAGCAAACTTCATTAAACAGCACCTACACCACTCAGCTCTTACCCCAGCACTGCCAGCTCTGGTTAGATTGCCAGAAAAACCAAAGAAGAGGGAGGTGGCAAATGATTGGAGAGAAAGACTGAGACACTCACATTCTCTGGAGGCTGCTGGTCATCGGTGGTGGGAGTCGCAGGTCTGCTGCCTTCTTTAGTTTTGCGTTTTTTCTTAGTTTCTGCAGTGGCTCCAGGGCTGTTCTTCTGCTGATATTCCTTCAGCTGTGAACAGAAGAAGACGAATCTGAAGTCCAAACAAAATATGCCTTCTATAACCCAAAAAAACCCTCAAAATCTAACTTCACTGGTAAAAATACAGATCAAGGTGTAAGGACAAGAGAATGAATTCATGAATTCATCAGTCTGGGGGAAAAACAGGAATCAAAATAAGCCCAAGAAGGGTAAAGTTAAGACCAAAGAGATGGGTTTATGACAAGTGTTGTAAACATTCAACTTTTGTTTACAGCCAATGCTGCCCCTAGGAAATTGATACTCCACAGTGCAACTTCAAGGAGATTGAAAGCACTGGTTTGGGGGATTTGCAGGCTTTTAAGTAAGAGCAATAAGGCAAAATTAATAAAGGGCGATTAATCCTACATGCAAAGTGAGGAAGCACTGCCTGATAGTAAAATCTTCCACTCCATGAAAGATTTTATGAAGGACAGGTGCAATCCCCACAATCCCCAACAACTGCGAACTAAGGGGAGAAACAATCTACAAATTATTCTTTAATCGCATCATCCAATTCGCCCAGGAAGTGCCGGTCTGATAAGATGTAACTCGGATCCCGCCAGGTCTGCCGGCATTTCTGTGCAATTCGTGCACGCCGAGCCCCAGAGCGGCCGGTCCCAGCAGTTGTTTATTCAAATAACGGCACCCCCGGCCCGCACAGCCCGGGCAGGGCACGGCGGGGCAGCGGGAGAAGGGCGAAGGAGGATCCCATTATTGGTAGGATTTCAAAATGGAAGCCTGAACTGCTCCAGGACACTTTCCCGTTCCTGTGACTTTGACACAGAAGCGCATCCCGCCGGGACGCAGGCAGCCGGGCCGCCCCGAGGGAAAAAATATGGGGAAAAAACAGGGAAAAAAAGGAAGGCGGAGGGGAGGAGGGAGGAAGGAAGGCGGGGGGGACACGACAGCCGCACACCAGCCTGGACAACCCTCACAGCACCGCAGCCACCCAGGCCCGCCCTCGCCCCGGCCGCCCGCCGAGAAGGCCGGGCCGCGGCCCCGGACACCCGCAGGCTGCCGGGCCCCACCGCGGCCAGGCCCGGAGCGAGGGGGCGGCGGCGGCCCGGCCCGCGCCCCTCGGGGGAGGCCGCGCTCGGCCCGGCCCGGGGTCCGGCCCGCACGGGGCTCGCAGCACGCAGCCACCCCCAGGTCCATCCTGTTGTGTCCCATCCTGCCCGGAGCCCCGGCCCCTCACCTTCTTCTTGGCCGCGGCCAACCGGCTCTGCCTGCTGCCGTCCGCCATGTCCGCCCCGCGCCCGGGCCACGTCAGCCCGCCAGGAGCGGCGGGGGCGGTGGCGGCTCCGCCCCCGGCCGGCCCCGCTCCGCCCCGGGACACCCCGGGGTGACACAGCGGGACAGCCCGGCCCCGCCGGGACACTCCTGCCCCGGGACACCCCGGTCCCCGTGTGACACCCCGGTCCCCGTGTGACACCCGCTGCTGTAGTGACCCGACAGCCCAGCCGGGAGGGGTCCGCCCGGCTCCCCTCGCCTTTGCGGGGCGCGTCCCTCACAGACCCGCCTCGCGTTCCGCCCTGTGCTGTCCGAGCGCGGATCCCGCGCCCAGCGCAGGCGGTGGGGTCGCTGTGTGCGATCCCAAATCCTTTGACCTTCCCAGCGCGGCAGCGCCCGAGGCTCGGGCAGCCCCGGCTCTGACACACGGCGCTCACCGGGACACGGCTCCCTGCGCCGGGCGGGCCCGAGCGCGGCGGGACGGGGCCTCCAGCGCTGTCCGAGCCTCTGTGCGGGACTGGAGGGGCCGGGCCGGGGGCAGCTGCGGTGGCCCGGCGGGACACAGGGTCAAGCGGGGGCGTGGGCAGTGCTCACCTTGCGAAAACAACATTGCAGGGGTGCTTAGGGTAAAGACTGGACATGGCACCCAGTGCCGTGGTCTGATTGGCATGGTGTTGTCCGATCACAGGGGTGATTTTTCGAACCAGAGGTCTTTACAAATCAGATGGATTTAATGATTCTGTGCGAGTGACCCCGAGACCCCTTGAGCCCCCGTCCCAGCTGAGCCATGGTGCTGAGGTGTCTCAGAAGCACCAAATGTAACTACCTCGGCTGCTGCCATTGGGGGACAATTTTGTCCTGCCACACCCAAAGTCACCTGCCGCCCCACCACAGTCGGGCCGAGCAGGGGACTTCAACTCCCGGCGTGCCCCTCGGCGGCACGACTACAACTCCTAGCGTGCTCTGTGGGGAGAACTACAACTCCCGGCGTGCTCTGTGGCGGGAGGACTGCGGCTCTCCGGTGTGGCGGGAGCCCCGAGCCTCGCTGAGCCCTCAGCCCTGGCCGAGCGGGCCCCGCCGGGCGCGGGCCGCAGCCCGCCCCGCCACCCGCCGCCGCGGGCCCTGCCCCGGAGGTAGGAGCCGCTTCCCCCTCCCGTCCTCTCCCGGGCCGTGTCCCCGCCGAGGCGGCGGTACCGGCCCCTGACGCGATGCCCTTTGCTTTAGCAGGGTCTCGGTTGGCGGCCGGCGGAGCGGCGGGGCCGCGTTCAGGGCACCGGTGAGTGCTGCGGAGCTCAGCCCGGCCCGGGGGGAGGATTTGTCCTGGAGGGTTCCTCGGGTTAGTGCCGGCACCGCAGTTTGCTCTGTGTCGTGCTGGGAGTTTCTCCTGAAAGGCACCTTGTGGGTTTTAATTATTTATTTTCACGTTACACTGTAGCTCTCGAAAGTGTGGTTAGATGTGGTATGGAGCAGGCTAGCGTTATGTACAATGATCCACATTTTATTTGAACCCCCCTCCCTGCCCTGGGGATATTTTTTTCCTTTTCTCCTGTTTTGTCCAGAGATATTTACACTATTTTCCCATTAGTGCTCCAGCATTGTAGCACCTACCCAGAGCTGAGTTCCTGCTGTGTGTCTCTGTGTCTTACAGATCCCCTCTCCCAAGTCCCTCCAGCCTAACGGAGCCAGTGAAGAAGCCCTGCGGTGTGAAATCAAAGAGCTGAAACAGAAAGACCTCGCTCTAGACCAGGAAATTGCACAGTTATTGTCAGAGTACGTCCTTGGCAAGCTCAGTGTTTACTTGATGCCTTAATTATTTTTGTTTTTGAAATAAAATGTGATCCAGGAATTGTAGCTGAGAGCTGACCTTCTATGATGCCATTGTTGGCGTGGTGCAATGCTGGTTACAGTGTTGTAAGTGATGGGACTTAGAGACAAGAGGGAATTCTTTCCACTTCATGTGGTAAAGCAAAACAAGTTTTACTAGAAGCTTGCATAAGAGGATTTTTGTTTTAGCCTGGGTGTTCCTGAGGTAATTATGTGTTTGCTGGGAACAGATAATTTTAGCCATTTGTTATTTGTTGTGAAAGATATATTTTCTAAGGTAAGATAGAAACGGTAGAACAACAAAGGCTGTTCCAGAACCCCTTTTCATTTATCCTCAAGGATAAACAAACCTTCCAGCAACAGAACAAGAGGAAATGGCCTCAGGCTATGCCAGGGGAACTTCAGGTTGGACATCAGGAGGAATTTCTTTGCTGAAAGGGTGATTAAACGTTGGACTGGGCTGGCCAGGGAGGTGATGGAGTCATGGTCCCTGGAGGCATTCAGGAGATGACTGGATATGGCACTCAGTGCTCTGGTTTAGTTCATATGGTGGTGCTTAGCCAAAGGTTGGACTTGATGCTCTTGGAGGTCTTTTCCATCCTAAATGATTCTATGATTCTTAATTTTTTCCATATATGCAGATTAAAGATACAGATCAATAGAGTTCACCACAGCCTACTCTTGATTCTGAGAACTTGGGTGCCTTGGCTTTCTTGAGCTTGTTTAGATCTTTCATGTTTAGGGCTTGCAGGAATTGCACTTTGCTGCATTCACTCTCTGCTTTTGAGGTGCCGGGCTTGGGTATCTCCCACAGCAGCAGGAAGCCCCAGTCCCTCTGTGTCATTTGTGACCTTCCTGGTGTTATTTTACAGGGGCTACAGCCTGGAGGAACTGGACAAGCACATCTCTCTGCTCCATGAGTACAATGAAATCAAAGATGCTGGGCAGATGCTCCTGGGCAAGCTAGGTAAGGAAGGGACAGCTGTTCAAGGCTGCAAAATCTTGGTTTTCTTGGTATGGGATGTGCTGTGGGATAATTAGGGGAAGAAAACACCACATTTCTGACTTACCTGATCTTTGTTTAATGACAGCAATGCTGTTTCTTTATTTCCTAGCTGTTATCCGAGGGGTCACTACAAAACAGCTCTATCCTGAGTATGACCTGGAGCTCAGTGACTAGTGCTGAACCTGGAGAGTGCCATGTCCTGCAGAAGTGGCTGTCACTGGGCCATTACACAGTGGTTCATCCTGGTTTAGGAGAGACAGAAGGTGGAAAAGGAATTCTGGAAAAGGGATGTAGGATTTTAGATAATTTCATGTACTACCTGATCAACAGGTTTTTTTTTTTTTTGAAAGGTTGTAGTTCAGGTTGATGTTGAGGCTCTTCCATGGAGCCTCTGATTCCCTGCAGTATCCAGGGGCTGTTTGGTTACTGAATGGATAGAGGAAGTGAGGACATACACATGTGCAATGTAATAGCTGCTTTGAAAGGAAAACCCTCAGAAGAAAGGAGGGAAGAAGGCAGAAATTGTGGTGGTTTGGGGGTTTATTTTGTTTTATCAACAAATCCAGACAAGTCTGGGTGTTCTGAATTTTTGTACTTACCTGCTCTGGTATCTGGAGGTTTTGTATCATTTCTGTAGTAAATGGCAAAATGTAAAGTTGTGTTGAACTGTTCACTCTGAATAAAGCAGCCTTCACATCTGGCAGTAAATCACTTCAAGAGCCTATAAAACACTGCATGAACCTGGGAACAAATTCTAAAACTATATTGAGACAACTCTAACATGAGTTATTCAAATGTTTTCTCCAGGAATGTGCAGGTGCAGAATCACTTTTGTCTGCTCTAAGTGCAGAGTCATGGTGGCAGTGAGTGCTGTCCTGGACAGTGGATGGTGTTGGGAGCACGAGTGTTTCAATGTCAGTGGGAGGGCTGAGGGTGACTGCACAGACTAAATTTGGCTGCTTTGGGCAGTTGGAAGTGATGCTCTGCTGACTGCAGATCTATTGTCCCTTTTTCACTCACACTTGATGTCCTTCTGCCCATTTTTATTTCCAAGACCTTCTAACCAGTAAGTTTCCCCTGTGCTCTCCAGTTAGGCCCATCCTGCAGTCTGCTTACATCCAAATTTGAATCAAATTAATCTGTCTTCATTGTGGTTGGAGGCCAGAAACCAGTCACAAGGCTATGCTGAGAACAGATAATTGGTTTTGCACTCCTGGCTGTGGATGTAGCACAGAAATGTCACTAATAGTGTCTTGTTTTGCCTTAAAAACTGGGGAGTAGTCTCAAGCAGGGGGACAGACAGAGCCTGTGTATTCCATGATTCATCCAAGTCTCTGCTGATGTGCAGCTGTGCAGAATATTTCCTGTGGCCACACCAGAGTGGACTCTCAGGGGGAACATTCTCACACCCTTCCCCAACACATACCCCTCTGCCAAGTGCTGAACACTCATGTGTTTTGGGGTAGTTTTAAGGGGAGGGAAAAAGGCACAAGGTGGCAAGAACTGGGAAATGCAAACTTTGTTACTCAAGTTGCTGTTTTGGCTGGTATTTTCTGTGTAGAAGGACTGGTTCAGCCTGGAGTGTTCCAACCAAAATGTTCCTCTGTCAGTGACACACACCACTGGGAATTGTTTTTGCAATAGAATGCATGGAGATTCTCCAGTTGTGTGAGGTGTGAGCTGAGGGGATAAAGTAGAATCATTACCAGAGTTACTGAAGGTTGTTCAAGGAGTGAGAAGTCCATGTTTTATTCCCCACTATGTAGGAGCACTGGGGTTAAAACTTGCTGCTGTGGCTGTGCAAGTGTTCTGCTTGTGGCTGCAGGGATGGGTTTATGCTTCAGGCAGCACTGGGCAGGTGTCCAGGGAAGGTCCCTGATCCCAATCGTTTGTCCATGGAGGATGGGAACACCCACAGAACCAAGGACAGGGCACGGTGTCCTTGGGGAATCCCTGCTGCTGGCTCTGCCAGGTGGTGGCAGCTGCGTCCCACGGCTGTTGTGGCTGCTCTGTGCAGCCCAGAGGAACCAGAACTGAAATATTCCAGGCTCTAAGAACTCCTGGGATGCTTCAGGACAGGACTGCACACTGCCTCTGAGACACTTCATCATGGCCCCCATGATTGCCCCTCCCAGAGTTACTCTTGTACCTCCATGGCTGTCACCTGGAGGATGAAATGTGCTGGCCCTTGTCCAAGTCCAGGAGAGGAACAGAACAAATCTTCTGCTTTCCATAAATAGATCTCCAAACTCACTAAGTATATAACTGGAAAACCATTGAATGCAATAATGGTAAGTGTTATTCCAGACTTTTAACTTCAATTTAGAAAGTGTGTTTCTGCAAAGTCAGACCCAGCTATAATGAGCTAAGAGCTCCAAATGGTATTATAGGGTTTACAGTATCACCAAAGGGCAGGACCTGCTGTCTGCAAGGAGCTGCTGCAGAGCACACCAGAGACCACTGAATACCCTTGGCTCCTCAGGAAAGAAAGGGTAAAATAAAGTAGCACTTGCAGGGTTTTTATGGGGCAATGTACATGGATGAGTACTGAGCCAAGAACCAACCTCTTCCCCGTTAGGTCATTTTCCATTTTATTTTTTGTGTATCCTGTGCATTAGTCCCCATTATAAGCCACTTTTCATCACATGCCTACTCTAGATAAAACAATTTCCTTGCATTGCTTTGGGTAAGCTGTGTTTTCTCCTGTACATCCCTCATTTAGCCTGATTTTGAGCTCTCATGTGTTTAAGAGCAGGGCTAATAGAAAGAAAATACTCCAGGAGAACACAGGGAAAATAAAATCCATTCAGCAGATAAATGATGCTGCCAGTTGCAAGGAACAAATATGTGCAGTCAAGGGAATACAGCTTTCTAAGACACTACTTCCTGCTGCTAAACAATACGGGAATGGGTTTTTACATCCCTTAGCAACCTAATGTTCTCAAAATCAACAGGAATTTTGGCACAGCTACCTCCTGTTAACGAACTGTTTGTGATGCTTTAAAAAAAATGATACAGTCTGTCACTGAAGAAAAAACAGCCTCTGATAAAAGTCATCTCAAGGAAAGGGTGGAAGTGAACTGCCATTAACCTCTTTCCTTCTGCTGTCCATCACCTCGCTGGCACGTCGCTGCCACATTGTGCTGCTCACGGAGGCTCCTGCAGAGCATGCTCAGCTGTGTCCCATCCAGCTGATGGAGAGGACTGTTCTCCTCATGTGCTGCCAGGGTTTTCTCCAGCTCTGTTTGCACTTTGAGCTGACAGTTCCTAATTGCCTCCTGGATGCTCTGCAGGTTCCACTGAGTTCTCGGGAGAGCGTCGTCCACCGTGAAAACGCCGTCGCGCGTCCTCCGCACTTGTGTGCACACAGCAGATGATTTCAGCTCCAGGCCAATCTCATGAACCACCTTCCTCAGGTACTGCTGAGTCTCATGCAAGCAATGGATTTCTAGGAGGGCAGAGATATTCCTTCAGAAGCAAAGCTTTGACACAAGCTCTGACATTGTAAATCCAGACATCACAGTTACGCTGAAAGAATTGGTTTGGCAGAAGACACTAAGAGCATGCTATGATTTTCTGGAATGCTGCAGGGTGTTCCACACCCTTTATAAATACTTTATATATACAAATTTATTATTTATTATTATATATTTATACATAAATACTTTAGAAAACAAACCTACAGATATAGAAGAGTAATGTAGAAATTTAGATATTTCAAAGGGGATGAAAAGGCACCTTTTTTAATAAGACAAATAATTTGTGAGAGGAAAGGGGACAGGCTACAGGAAAACAAACCACGCTTAAAAAAAGCCCAAAACCCAGCACTGAAATGCATTACACAGAAACATTGAGCTAAGAAGAATTTCCCCCATAAGTATTCATGATGCAAATATTCCAGCCTTGGGCTTACATCTGAACTGGCAAGGAAAAAGCTATGAACTGGCTGGATTTACCAGAGAAGTTGTAAGTTGGTAAGAAATTCCCACCAACTCATTTTGCATTAAATCATGAGTAAGAAAATGAAGTTTACCAGCTTATTTGCCATAATACATACTCAGAGTTCCCCAGTACATTCTGTGCCAGTCCTACCTAGCTGGAATTCTGGAGGTGCAAACTGGAGGCATCGGATTGCTGTGATTATTGGGGGGCTTTTTCCCATGGGGCGAATCAAGCCTTTGACAGCCAGCTCATATGCCTCTTGTGTTTTCATATCAATGTTAGAATACCTAGGAAAAAAAAGAGAGCAGCAGAGACATTTAGAAATTTCTTCAAAGAGATTCAAAATATGTCCATCCCCAATGAAACAGAAATGCAATTTTTATTCTTAAAACTATCCAGTGAGTTTCTGCATATGTTTTTGTGCTGTATGTACTATCAGTAGTGTAGCACAGTTTAGGATGGAGCTACTTGGTCGTGTCTACAAGTTATTTTTGTCAGCCTTAATATAGCAGATTGGTCCTAAACCAGCAGATTGGAGATTTTGGGATACAAGAAGAACAATTAACTGCAACCTCTCACCAGAGCACAGAGCACTCAGAGTAACTCCTTTCTACCCCTTGCTAGCACTCCAACCCTTACAGACTTTGATTATGAGAAACAGAATCCCCTCATTTGTTTTGAAGACCAGCACATGGCAGCGGGATCAGATCAGCTCATTGCTCTGGTGGATACGCACATCAGCAGGGCCTTTTGATTTGTCCCTTGAATGACAGCAAGAATCCTCTCCAGCTTCTCCCTTGTGATATGATCTGCAAATATTAAGGCAGAAACAAAGTCTCAATTATCCATCCAGAAACTGGAAAGTCTGAAAAGTGCCACTGAGATATTGCTGTCCCTCAGGCAGGCAGTCACATCAAAAGGGGGCTGATGAGAGCTGAGGGGTGGCCTTTGCAAAGTCCCTTCCCCTGGCTCTACATGGAGCAGCACAGAGCTGGACTGCAAAGGGAAGAGTTATTTTGCTTAAATGATTCCAAAACATTGATGCTCCAGTTTTCTTATTGTATGTTTTCATTCAATGAAATCTCCTAACTGCTACCTCCAAGTGTGATTCACAGATCTGGGTCCTGACCAACCCAGTAGCAACCACTGTGACCAGCATTCACACTGGCTTTGGCTATATCATGGTTAGATTTAGAACAGGGGAGCTGCAACATCAGCAAAGGCTAGAAGACATGCAAGATGTGGCTTCTGTCATTGTGCAATTCACCTGATTAAAAGCTTTAATCTGTAGTTTGGTGGTCTGATTAAAAAAAACACAAAACAACAACACATCAAATCAGTTTCTTACCAAATGTTGTCTTCTCTATTAAATTTCCTGTGTCTGAGAAGTCATCAGTGGCTTTACCAAAAAGCCCACCAACAGTATAAACCTGGAAGAAGGACAAAGAGTGCAATTTATCAAGAAAATGCTCCAAGCAATTGAACAGCAGTAGTGCACCGTGCAGCTTCCAGAATTGCAGGCTACAAGAGTTTTATACAAAAAGCAGCATCCTGTGCTCAAAAGGCCACGAGTGGATGCTTATGTGAAGGATGAAACTCTGTACCCTGAAAGGCTCTCAAAAGCATTGGCAGGTTTGAGACTTAAGTGCAGAATCAACATCACAAGGCTGCTCTGGGGCACTGGGGCAGGATCAAGTGTGCAATGGCACCCTGGGGCCTGTTCAGAGCCAGCACCTACCTTGGTCAGGTGGCAGTTGTACAGGTCAGTGAGCAGCTTGTTCCCATGGCCGATGCCAAGCACTGAAACAGAAAATGGGGAACTTGTTACTCAGCCTCACAAAGTCACTGATGTGCATTTACACAGCACTGAACACTCACAGCACTTTTGCCCTGTGGACACGGCTGTATCTCCTTAGGAGTCACGTCTGAGCAGTGCAATTAGACCCCCAGATTATTGTCTGGCATGAAAACCATAGAGTTCTTGAATTTCCCCAGAGCTTTCTACCTGGGCACTCAGGGCAAATGGTCAGCAGTGCCAGCCCCAGTGAAGCCAGCTGAGCTGGTGGAGCAGACATGGGGATTGGTGTCCCCCAGAAGAACCCACTGTGCCTGTGTCTCTCCCATCTAGCTTTGCCAGCAGCTTGCTGGGCCATTTCTTCTGTGTTTTACCCCTCAACTCCCAGTGGGGCTGTGAGATCCAGGGGCTGCTGCAGTGCAAAGGCATCCACCCTTCTTCCCTGCATGGAAACCCATCACCTCGCACGCAGCAGGACACGGTGCTGCCCCGGAACGAGACCCACCAAAAACTCCCGAAGCCTTCACATCCAGCCGGTGACCTGCTCCGATCTTCAGCTTCCTGAACCGCGGGCCTCGGACTGCAACGGAGACAGTGATGGAGCGGCTCCGCAGCGCCTGCCCGGGGCTGCCAGCGGCCCCCGGTGTGCCCCGGGCCAGGCCCCGCCGTGCCCTTACCGAGGGGGTGGTCGGCCAGCACCGGCACGCTGGCAGCCACCAGCTCCACGGCCCCGCCGCCCTCCGGGGCCGGGCTCGGGAGGAAGCGGATTTGCTGCCGGGGGGCGCGTTGCGGAGCCGCGTTCAGCTCTGAAAGAGAACCGGGGGAGAGCGGGGAATCAGGGCCGGCCGGCGAACCCCGGGGACGGGACGGGACCTGCCGGGGCTCATCGGTAACCCCTGAGGATGGGACGGGACGGGTCCCACCGGTAGCCCCTGGGGATGGGATGGTGTAGGGGGTCCCGCCGCCCGCGCTCACCGCGCAGCAGCCGCGTCTCCAGCGCCTCCCGGACGCGGCCCCAGGCCACCCCCGCCGGTTTGTACACGGCGAACAGCCCCGCCAGCCCGGCCAGCCCGGCCGCCGCCATGGCCGCCGCCCCGCCCCGCTGCGGGCGCTTCCGGGGCAGCGGCGGAGCCGGGCCGGGATGCGGCGGCTGCTGCTGAGGGCGGCGCGGGCCGGGGTCCCGCTGCTGCTGCGGGGGCGTCCCGCTCACCCAGGCAAGTGCAGCCCCCGGAGCGGCCGGGCCAGCCCCGCAGCCGAGCCCTCCCTTACCCGCTGCTCCCCGCAGGCAGAGCCCGGCCGAGCCACAGCGAGCCGCGGGGCCGGGATGGACGCGGCCAGGAGGAGGAGGAGGAGGAGATGGGAGGGTGGCAGCAGCTGTACCCCGGGCACATCCCCACCAGCCCGCTGCAGAAGGCGCTGCTGGCCGCCGGCTCCGCGGTCATGGCGCTCTATGACCCCTACAGACACGGTAAGGCCGGCGAGGGCAGCGCCTGCCTCCCGCGTCCAAACCCCGCTCCCTGCAGCCTGGAGGCTTCACAGGAAAGCCTGGGGCCAGCGCAGGGCGGAGAACTGACCCGGTGCAGGAGGCTGTGAAAGAGAGGGAGTGAGGAAACCCGAACACGCCCCAGTGTGACCCCTTGTGATGCCACCCAGACCGGTCTGCTCCTCCAGGGTCCCCCAGGCCTCATGACTGCTCCTCCATCCCGTTCCCAGGAAGGGTCATGTGGGTGACACCAGGGCAGAGTAGCCCTGAAGCTGAAGATCTGTGGTTTATGTGATCCCCACTTTGCCACGGGCTTCCTGCCTGCTCCTGGTCTATGGTTCATTGCCCTGTTCATTGCTCTGTTTCCTCACCTGCCAACCAAGGGTAGCTGGGTGTTGCGAAAGCAGCCCTTGGGTCACTCTCTGGTCTCTCTTTCAGACATGGTGGCAGTGCTTGGGGAGACCACGGGCTGCCTGGCCCTGCCAAACCTGCGAGACAAGATGAAAAACCACCCTGAAGGTTACCGCATCCTCCAGTGCGTCCCTCCCCATTCCTCCCTCCCTCCCTCCCTCCCTCGCCATGTGTTTTGTGGTAGAGTGGCAGACACGAGGCCAAGCAGGTTCCTTGGCCCTGTGCAGGGACAGCTTGGAAGCAGCACAAGTGTTTTGTAGCTCTAACCCGCCAGGCTAGCTTTATTTTTAACTTTCACAGGAGCCCTGTGACACATCTAAGGGCAGGCACCACTTGCCTGTCTCTTCTGCTTCGCTGCTGGAACTGACAGCTGCCAACACCACGAGATGCAGCAGCAGGCACAGGGGAGAAATCCGTGGATGTGGATGCTGAGCAGTGATTAGAACACATGGATGTTCTAACTACCTCCATGAGTTTCTTCCCTGTGCCTGTTGCTGCATTTTCTTGCATTGGAGGCTCTGTCTCTGCTGCTCTCCTCCTCCTTAGACACTTCCATGTTTTTTTCCTGGCTCAAGCTGAAATGAAGCCAGTTCTCTTGTCTTCTTTTTTAAGACTCCATCATTTCTGCTTTCATATCTGCAAGAACTTGTTGAGTGCAGCAAGGCTGAGGACCAGGAGGGTTTTCTCTTACTAACCAAGCTCTCACTGTATACCTGCTTGCCTTCTCCCTACTCCCTGTCACGTGTCACACCTGCTGCTTGTGTCACATAGGAGCTTGAGAAAAGTTGCCTTTTGCCATATGCTTGTGCAGACCAGCCTCATCCTGGCTTGAGAAGTTGACTTGGTAAAACATCCAGAGCAGTGGAATGGGGCTGAATCCCAGCAGAACTGCCCAGGGAGAGGGTTAGGAAGGGACATACCCACCTGTTCCTTGCCCTGTGGTATTGCAGGGATTTGCAGCGGTCTGAATTGGGCACACAGGTCTTTTTGTTTTTATCCCCCAATCTGCTGAGGCCCCTTTGACAACAAATATACAAGGAGATATCTGCAGCCAGTGTGAAACTGGTGCCAGTGATGCTTATCTCCCTGGCACCTGCACTCTAGGAGCTGAGCAGCTCCTGGATCTTTTATCATGGGAAGAGTTTACTCTGTGAGTGGAAATAAAAGGGCTTTTGTTTACTTACAAGGCTGTGAGGCACCTGTTTGCCAACAACCTGTGGAGGAGACCGTGGCTGCCATGTGGCTGGTGGTGAAAGTGTGAGCAGGATTGAAATTAAACCTGTGCTTAGAACAAATTCCTTCTCTTCTTTGAGGTTGCTCCTTTGAAGCTCTGGCTGCTGTGCACAGGCATTAAATTTCTGTGCTGTGCAGGGCTGGGGGCTGTGCCTGGCTGGCAGCCCACACAGCAGCAGCTTTTCAGTGCAGGGGACACCAGTGTTTTTTCCACTAGAGTTGTTACAAGCACACAAGATAAAGGCAGATCCTTTAGGTAGATCATTTAAGCAATTTGTGTCCCAGCCTCTGCGACAGACATGCAAACAGTGCTGTCCGTACAGAGGGAAAATAGCACGGATGGGCAGAGGCAGGGGTGGGGGTTTCCAAGGGCTCCTTTTGTGCAGGACCTGCTGCTGTGGATTTCTCTGGGAGTCTCACTGAGCTGTGTTTGGCTTCCAGGGAACGGCCTCGCATCCGTCTGTCCACCCTGGACATGGCCAGGCTGCAGGGGCTGCCGGAGGGCTCGCTGGGCCGGGAGTATGTCCGGTTCCTGGAGGACAACGTGAGTGTGAGCTTTCATGGGGGGCACATTTCTGTGGCTGATCCCTGTGCTAGGAGCACAGGTGAGATTGCAGCCACAGAGTTGAGTTGGGCCCCTTTGGACTTGCAGAAAGTTTCTCCAGACACGCGGATGCCGGCCAAGTTTGTGGATGATGAGGAGCTGGCGTACGTGATCCAGCGGTACCGGGAAGTGCACGACCTGATGCACACCCTCCTGGGCATGCCAACCAACATGCTGGGTGAGCAGCAGTGGGCTTAGAGAGCTGCACTGCCAAACCCACTGATTGTGCTCAGCTGCCTCCCAGAAATGGAGCAGGCTGGGCCAGCTGGACTCCCTGATCCTCAGCCTGGAGGGGAGGATTTTGCATCATCACTGTCTTACATCACTGGCTCTATGGTGAATGAGAGGCCGTGAGATGTCACCTTTTCCCTGCTGGGAGATGCTCTGCCCAAGCCCTGGGCACAGGCAGGCACTGGATGGGTGGTTTCTGCCTGGCAGGGAGGGTGGCATAGAGGGAGGGATGTTTTGCAAGCTCTGTGTGAAGGCAGAAGGGAATTCCTGGTTGCTCCTTATCTGCACATCTCTGTGTCCTTTGCCCTCATTTTGTGGCTGACTCAATAGCAGGTCACAGGTGCAGCCTTGCTGGGACATGTGGGGACCAGCATGACAGGGCTCTTCAGGCTTTGCCTGAGTCCAGGCAGTTTTGTAACAGGCCTGTGCTGGCAGAGCCACACAGAGCATCCACCTTGGCACTGCATTGCCGAGGTCTGCAGGGAGCTGGACTGGCTGGGATGTGTTCCCCAAGCTCCCAGGGCTTGTGGGGTGCCATCCCTCTGGGGTGGATGGGTGGTGTGTGGCACGGCCCATCCTGGCTCAGGCTGAGGCCATGCATGGCCAGGCTGAGAAAGCTTTCCCATCCTCGGGAAGGGCAGTGTGCAGCCTGTGCTGAGGAGCCACACAGCCCTGGCTGCCCTTGGTGCAGGTGCTCTGTGTGCTCACAGCCTCTCTGCTCCCCAGGTGAGGTGGTGGTGAAGTGGTTTGAAGCCATCCAGACGGGGCTGCCCATGTGTGTCCTGGGAGCAGCGTTCGGCCCTGCCCGCCTCAGCTCACGGTACGTGCCCGTCCCTGCCCTGTGTGCTGCTTTCCTGTGCCCGCTGGGGACAAAGAGGGGACACTGCTGGTTTGCAGTGGGGACTCAGTCACACATCCCTCCATGAGCCTACTGCTTTCCTCACATCCCAGCTTTGCCTTGTCACTGAAGCAGAACCTGATGCTTAATCTGCATTCAACACCAGCCCCCCTGTGCCAGGCAGGAGCAATTTCCAGGCCTTGGATGGCCGGTGGGACCCTCACCACACTGGGAGCTGTTCCCTGCACATTTTTTTTATTGCCCAGCAGTTGCAGAACTTGAGTTCTGGCCTTGAGTTGGTGTTGACTATAACCTTCCTGCCACACCATCCTCCTCTGTGCCTCAGTTTCCCCTGTGAGTTAAGCAGAGGGGATGCCGGAAAGTTAAAGGGATACATGGGACACATGGGCTCGGCATCAGCCTACAATGGAGAAGGAAATTAACAAAATGTGAATATCAGAACTGCCACCACCTGTCTCGTTTGTCCCAGAAAGCTGCAGGTCCTGGCCACCGAGCTGGTCCCCTGGGCGATTCGGAGCGGGCTCAACTCCAGCTGTGTCCTGAACGTGTACTACGAGCAGCGCTGGGAGCAGCCGGTGGAGTCCCTGCGGGCGGAGCTCGGCATCCTCCCTCCCCCGGCCGTCCGGGTGTGAGAGCTCCTGTGGGACGGCCTGGGGGATCCCTGCTGGCAGCTCCAAACCCTCCTGCCCTGCCCGCAGCACAGCGTGGTGGCTGCAGCTCTTCCACCAGGGGCCCGAGGGCTGTGTTTCCTCCTGCCAAGAGCTGGCTCCAGCCTGTTGGTAGAGGCCAGCTGGCATCTCCCTGGGCTGTGGCAAAAACTCGACCTGTTTGTGATTTTGGCTGAGGGATGTCAAGGTCAGATGTGCCTTTGCCAGCTGGTCTGGCTGCTCAGCTCTCCCAGCAGCAGCGTTCCAGTACTGATGCTCCCAAGTGCTGGGATGGGGAGGGAGCACACTGCAGCAAATGGATGCCTTGGCCTTCTGCAGCCCCAGGGCTGTGCAGGTAAATCCTTCCTCCCATCCTGGGAAGATTGAGGCTTCACATCTTGGGGCTGCCCTGGACGGGAGGTACACCCATGGTTTTCCAGAGGAGCGCAGGGGCAGGTTTGGTGTGTGCAGTGGTGAAATCCCATTTTGTACTGGTCTCCTGTTGGGTCACACTGGATGTGCCTCACTTCCTGCCTCAGAGACCAGGCAGTGTGTGATTGTACCCACAGGGCAGGCACGGAAATACCTCTGGATATTTTCCCTCCTGGATTGGCTGTTTTGAGAGCTGATCCCAGTCTGCTGTGTCTCCCTGTAGTCCCTCCCCATCAAAAATGATGAAATCCACATGATTGTGCTGGCTGTTCAGTAGGAATCCTCCCTTCCTTGGGCAACACAATGACACAGTTGGGATGATGGGATTGAACCCAGTGAGTGCAGAAACAGTGGCCGCTGGTGCTGTGTCTGGGAGCTGGTTGCTGTCTGGGTTAATTAATCTGTGCTCCAGACTGCAGCAGCCAGGGAGCAGAGATGCTGGATGTGATGGCAAAGAGCCACGAGGCCAGGGGCTCTTTGTTCATGTGTGTTTGCTGTTGGAATTCCTTCTCGTTTAATAAATCCACACTGGGGCTTGTAGTTCATTACCCCTGTCCTTTTGCCCCATCTCTCTTCCTGAGCTGGAGATCTGATGTGAAACCTCACCCCTTTTTGGCTTCAGCAGGTTTTCTTCCTGCCCCCCAGACTTCCTTTTTTAACTTCTCCCTGCATCAGCCACCCCACGAGCCAGACTTTGGGTTTTTCTCCAAATCCTCCCTTGGCCCCCAGAGTTATTTCAAACAGATACAAACAGTCAGTATATAAATACATCCTTTAGCTGCCAGTAAAACACACAGTGTGGGGTTTATCCTAGTGCAGTGGTCAAGATGAAAGAAACATTTGCCTGTAAAATGACCCAGAAATGTCAGAACCTTGGGGTGAATAAACCAAAGGGCAGCAAAGATTTGCTTCCAGGAACTGTCAAGGGAACGTGGGAAATGATGGCCGTGAGAGAGGTTTTTGCTGCATTTTGAGTTATTTAATGAGGCCTTGAAGTGTCCCGGCTGTCAGTGCTGGTGGTGCCGCCTTCGTGCAGCCACGTGTGGCTCAGTGGGCTGGTGCCAGCGCTACAGAAATGGCACACTGTGTAATTTTAAACGGCATCTGCTCAGCCGGATCGAGTAGCAGTGTCTGTGGCTCCTGTTCCTGCAGCCGTCGCTTGAGCAGCCTGCGGAAAGCAGGCGGCAGAGGGAGCAGAGGGTGATTTGGGCAGAGCCACATGAAAATGCTTTTTTTGGAGAGGATGTATTCGCTGTGGGCAAGTGGCAGCTCCACCATGCCCGTACTGCGGGAACGCATTAACAATTAACTCCTGAACTGCTGGGATGGATGCTGGGTACGCTCCCCGGTGGGGCCGGGTTTTTTGCGGTGCCCGGGCCGCTGTTGACCTCGCTCCCAAAACGGATCTGCCGCTCCGCGCTCTCCGGCAGACGGGCGGACCCGGCGCGCGGGCAGCGCCCGGGGGCGGCCGCGGCTTCCCCCGGCCCGGTGCGGCCGCGGAGCGCGGGAGCGATTGCCGCGCCCCGGCGGCAAAATGCGACTCTGGTGGGACTCGAACCCACAACCTTTGAATGACTCCCGTCACACGCTAGAAGTCCAATGCGCTATCCATTGCGCCACAGAGCCCTCGCTCTGCCGCGGCGCCCTCACCGCCTCTTCCCCGCGCCCCGCCCGCCCCGCCCGCGCCACCGTTCCTCGGCGCTGCGTCCGTCACCGCGGGGCCGGGCCGGTGCACCGGGCGGGACTACAGCTCCCGGCGGCCCGCGCTGCCCGCCCCTCCCCGCCCCTGCCGCAGAGCCGGGCGGGCCCCGCTCCCGGTGCAGGTGGCCGGGCCTCAGCGGATGCCCCGGAGTCCGGTAAGAGCGTGGCACCATCCTCCCCATTCCGTTCCGTCAGCGCCCGGCGCCGCCGCGGCGGCCGCGCTCCCTCCTCGCGGGCGGCCCCGCGGGCTCCCCATCAGGCGCCGCGGCCCTGCGGGCGGCACTAGGATCCCTCCGCTCCGCCGGTGTCCGCATGAGGTACCGGGGCTCCTGGTGGGGCACCGTGGCAAGCGCGGGGACCCCTCCGTCCCCCGGTCTCCCCACGAGCGCGCCGCGGGCCCTGGCCCCACTGAGAGCGGCCGTGCCCGGGCGCTTCCGGGGCCTGGCGGGTTGGGTGGCGGGGCCTGGCTGCGTCCCGGTGCGGGGCCCTCCCGGCCCTTCTGCCTCGTGTGATGGGGCTGGGCAGCGCTGCTCGACCTCCCTGCTGGGTCCCCAGGGGGGTGACACGGGGGTCCCTGCACTGGGCAGGTGGGGGACAGGTGCCTCCCAGGTGCCATTGGCGCTGGGGCTTCTCACAGCCCGGCCACCTGCCCCTTGTCCCCCCCGGGACCCGCTCCTCGGGCTCGGTGCTCCCCGGGTGGGTCCCCGCGCTTTGCCTCGGTGCCTGCTGGCTGTGAGCTACAGGCATGGCTTCGTTTCCTCTGGGCTGATGCAGCCGGACAAGACCTGAATCTGTAACAGAGGGCTGGAGGTCTCTGGCAGCCACACACCGGGTATCTCCGTAGGAGGCACCGGGATGCCGGAGTGAGGTGGAGATAGGAGCAGAGGATAACAGGGGCTTGCCTGAGCCTGCCTTGCCTTCGAGCGGGAGATTAAGCCCTTTGCTGCCCACACAGAGTGGGGCTCCCCCGCTGCTGCCTCTCCACCTCTGGCTGGTGTGAAGCTGTAACCGAGGGCCCAGGCCTGTGTGAGGCACAGTAGTTTGATGGTGATCTAAAAGCTGTCCTGTTTAAATGCAGAGAGAGGCTCCCAGGTAAAAGCACAGTGAGTCCTGTCCTGCTAAAAGGCAGTGTTGTGGGACATGACATCTGGGAGTAGGTGTTTGGTGGGGACTGTTCAGAGGTCACTGGCACAAAGAGGAATCTCGGGGTAAAGGCTATGGGTGGGAAAATGTCTCCAGGTGTCCCCCTGGGAGGGGCATCTTGTGCTCTGATGCATCCCAGCCTGCTGCTGGTGGCACAGCTCAGAGGTGGCACAGCCAAGGAACAAGATGTGACCATGTGGCACTGCCTGAGCTCCCACCCTGCCAGCATCTGGTATCAACTCCACAGAAGCTCCTCGGATCTGAGGGACACTGCACAGAGCAGAGGGAAAGCCACAAGTGTGGCTCCCATCCCCACCAGTTGTACTAGAGCCCATTCAGGGCTTCCAGCTTCAGAGCAGCAAATCAATCTTCAAGAGGGAAATGATGCAAATGTTTCCTTCCTGTTTGGCCTGTGTCCATGCCAGGAAGGGCCAGTTTTATCTAGGAGCTGTGAGGGTCACATCTCTGTCATTTTCCTCCTCCCAGTGCTATTGCCTGAAAAGAGCCATTGCTAGATGACCATCTCTGAGTCTCAGAGCTACTTCTGGAATGTGTCTGGGATGGGGACAGAGATGCTGTTTTGGAGGGACGACTACTAGAGACAGTCACTGTCCCCAGGGAATGGGACAGGGGCCTGGGCACTCCTGGCAGCAGTGACAGCCCTTGTTCTGCCCACTCCAGCCTGGCCTCATCCCTGACCTGCTCTGGCAGTGTCTCCAGCCTATTTAGGCCAGGAAACTGCCTGCTAACATGAGGGTTTGCAAACACAAGCAGAGCTCAAAGAACTGAGTTTCCTGTCCCTGATCCTGTCTGAGCTGTATTGTGGAACACATGAAGCTGTGCTCTTCCAACAGCTGTGGGGGCTCTCCTGGAGCCAGGCATGCAGGAGAGCTCCTGCTCGGGGCTTGGGAGACTGGATTTTAAGGACAGGGGGATTCTGGGGTAGAGTGGAGGCTTCCAATCATCTGTACACAGCGTCCTGCCATGACTTTGCTCACACCTCCATGGAAGTGACTTTATCCTGCATCTCATGTTGCTGGGGCGTGGCCAGACCCCTGGCTGGTGTGCAGGATGTGGCTCCCCAGGTGGGAATGGCCGGGCTCTCGTGCTGGTGGCTCAGTTGGAGGCCACCTCCAGGGTCAGATAAAGTTACATCTCTGGGAGCTCTGGGCTGCTGGGTTACATCCTCACTGCCAGCAGGACTGATGACTCAGGGACCTCATCCAGGAAATTGGGGGCTGCTCAGGCATCCTACGCCCATGGGGTTGTTATCACCAGGTCCGTGGTGCGTGGGTTGATGGCTGTGGTTTCTCTCTCCCTGCAGGCCACAATGCTGCGTTTGGCTGCCTTTGCAGCTGTGCTGCTGTTCCTCAGGGTCACTCTGGAACTGTCCTGGATCCAGGCCATCCCTGCTCTCTTCATCTTCTACCTGGCATCTGGTGGATGGGAGTTTTTCCTCATATTCCTCAAGACATTACCAAGGGACGTCAGGTAGGTGTGCTGGCTGGGATGGTCCAGCCATCCACCCCTGGCCCTCTGCTCTGCCCTGGTGTATGTGTAAGCACAGTCCCTGACTCCTTGCACAGCCTGGGTTTCTGCTGGCACCTGGCCTGGCTGGAAGGAGATCTCCCTTTGCCTTGTCTGGGTGACCCCAAACTCTCGGGCAAAGTTTTCCCAAGAAGGATAGATTTCAGCTGAGCTCAAAGTCTATTGACTGTCCTTGTACTTCGCCCTGTCCCTAAAGCTGCTGGCGTAGCACCAGGTCCCTGTGCAGGGTTTGTTCTGAGTTGGTGTCAGGCTGTGCCAGCTCCTGGCAAGGATATGGGGGGGAGGGAGTGGTGGTACCTCTTGGAGAGCACTCGAGGCTCAGAAATTCCCCTTTGATCGGGGACATCCCTGTCTGCAGACTTCCAAACACATCAGTCCCTGGCTATGAGCCTCTCTGCAGATGTGTTCTGCCCGTGTGCCCACTGCTCAGGGGAGCACACAGAGCTGCTGCTGACCCCAGGTGGGGTCTGGTGTCACTGCTGGGCTCTTGCAGCTCCTCAGAAGGTCCTTGTGCTGTGCTGGCTTTGCTGAGGAAGTGATTCTGCAGGGGTCACTGAGCAGCTGCCCCCTTGCTCCCCCTCTTTGGCAGCACGGGGCTGGTCCTGCTGCGGGTGAAGTGGCAGGTATGGAGGCACGTGAAGGAGAAGAACACCATCGCCAAGATCTTCCAGAGGACCGCAAGGAAATATCCAGAGAAGACAGCGCTGATCTTCCAAGGCACGGGCGAGAGCTGGACCTTCCATCAGTTGGATGAGTACTCCAACCAGGTGGCCAATTTCTTCTACGGCCAAGGCTTCCGCTCGGGGGACGTGGTGGCGCTTTTCATGGAGTCCCGCAATCAGTACGTGGGGCTGTGGCTGGGGCTGGCCAAGATCGGCGTGGAGACGGCCCTGGTGAATTCCCACCTGCGCATGGACGCCCTGCTGCACTGCATCACCATCTCCAGCTCCAAGGCTGTGGTTTTTGGCGTGGAGATGATGGAAGGTGAGGTGCTAGCAGATGTTTTGGGAGCGCTTTGGAGTGGAGGGAGGTGTGTCTAGCTGGTGGGTTCAGTGTTCCTTTCCTGCCCACCACAGAACAGAGATCTGGAAGAGACTGGACAGTTGAATCATTCAGGAATTAGATTTGTGTTTGTGGTTTTTTTGTTTGTTTGTTTTTCATTCCTTTGGACACTGGGCAGGATCTGGAGTGTAGTGCTGTCTGCTTCCCAGGCAGGTCAGCCTGGGTATGAGGATCCTTCCTTGTGTCTCTCCAGTCCATTCCCAGCATGGAGACCTGGGTTGGACTGGGCCTGCCCCACTGCACAGGAGGAACCTCCCCTTGCTCTCCATGGCTGTTGCTACATCCTTGCAGCACCTTGGCTCCAGTTCCTTGTGTGTTTCAGTCCACACCTCTGAGGTTGAAGATGTCAACAAACCTCTTGGCAAAGAGGTTTTGGATGGGGGAAGGTGGAAAACAGGATCTTCTGGTCCCTGAAGAGGTCTGGGCTGTGGCCCCAGCATCTGTTAATCATGAGAACAACATCTGCCTGGGATGGCTGTGAGCCCTTTGGCAACTCTGCCGAGCATAGTGGGGTACAGCTACCTGGGGCAGGCTGTCCCTCAGGCTGTCTGGGAGGACAGGAGGTCTCTGTGCTGTAGCCACCCTGCTGCTTTTCTCCAGCTCTCCTCTTTATTTCCTCAGCAATGCAGGAAGTGCAGCCCTCCCTGGATGAATCCATTCATCTCTTCTGGTCTGGGGATGAAAATCCTAAATCTGTTTTCCCTGGTGCAAAACACCTGGACCCCCTCCTGCAGATGGCCCAGCGACACCAGCCAGCTCCCCCTGCTAAGGGCTTTCTTGGTATGTGCTCAGCTCTTGGGGCCAGACACGTGGTGATTTTGAGGGTTACAACTCTGGCAAGACTGCTGGGGATGCTGATGGCAAGGGGTGTTTGGGATGGGTCTTACTCCAGTGTTGGAAGCTCAGCCCTGAGTGGAGCAGTATCCTGACATACCCCCTGTGTGTCCAACAAACCCAGCGTGATCCTAGGATGTTCTTGGAGCTATTACATGAGAGCTTTGGCTCAGCTGGCAAGAGTAGAGTGTTTAAATTTTGTTTGTCCCCCTCTCCTGGTTCAACCTGGTTCCTGGTCCCAATTCCTAGATTGGGAATGTGACCCTGTCTCCTCATTGCTCCCTAGATAAACTCTTCTACATCTACACCTCTGGCACAACGGGGCTGCCCAAGGCTGCCATTGTGGTGAACTGCCGGTAAGGCTGTGGACAGGGGCTCGGGGAGGATGGGGCTGAGCTCTGCCCTCTCCTGGCACAGCAGCCCTGGCCCTGCTCCTGACATTCCTTCTCACCCTCCCCTCAGGTACTTCCGCATGGCCAGCTTGGTTTTTTACGGTTTTCGGATGAGGTCCGATGATGTGATTTACGACTGCCTCCCGCTCTACCACGCTGCAGGTAACGTGTGCCACACAGAGCATCCTGGCACTGACCCTTCCCTCAGCCAAGCCCAGGGCTCTTCCCTCAGCCAAGCCCTGGAGGCTGGTGTGGCTGTGATCTCCATGCTGAGGAGGTTGAGACTGCTGCTTGCAGTGTGTGACTGAGGCTTTTCTACTTTTCCCCTGGAAGCCAAGAATTTATCTGGCTGACCTTTGGAGCAGGGAGTGTGTGGGGAGGGCATTATCCTACCCTGCTTTTGGAGTACCTCTTCTTTATTGCTGCTCCCTGTGGAAAGTAAGTGGGGAAAGTCTAGGGGAAGCAGTGCTGCCTGCCTGGCTGAGATATGCTGGGGTATTTAGGTGCAAAGTGCTGCCCTACATGATACTGCCACGTGTCTCCTCCCTTGTGCAATGGCCCCGGGGGCTTTGGCTGGGCAAACCCCCACTACTGCTGTGAGCCAGCCATGGCCTCTGCCTTGCCCTGCCACTTCTTTCCCTGGGTGGGCTGGGCTGGAGGTGTTTGGGGACTGAGGGTTTTCCTGGCTGCTTCTGTGCAGGGAACATCGTGGGCATTGGGCAGTGCCTGCTGCAGGGCGTGACGGTTGTCATCCGCAAGAAGTTCTCAGCCTCACACTTTTGGGAGGACTGTGTGAAATACGACTGCACGGTGAGGCTGTGAGGCAAGGGGCCAGTGGGGAGTGGGCAGTGAAGCCTGGGGGTCTGTGCCAGGGAGAGAGCTCTCTGTGGGGACAGCCCAGCTGCTGGAAGTGGGGGAGGCCTGGATGAGTTCTGTCTGTCCAAACCACCTGTCACAGTGGTGGGGCTGTGTCCTTCCCACCTGGGCTGGTAGCTTCATGTGTCCTCTTCACGTTCCAGCATTAGCCAGGAGATAGTGGGTGGGTGTCACAGCCTGGAGAGGTGGGTTAGCCAGGGAAGGACAGGCTGGATGACTTAGCAGAACTTCTCTTTTTCACTGCGGCCTCTTAGCAAACTTTGAGTGTGTTGTGCCATTCAGTCCTGCCCTGAAGCAGCCTCAGAGAACCCAGGGCTTGGCAGAGGGATCCTAGTGAGTCTTTCCTCTCTGTTGCTCCCAGATTGTGCAGTACATCGGGGAGATCTGCCGCTACCTGCTGAACCAGCCGTACCAGGACGCGGAGCGGCAGCACCGCGTGCGCATGGCCGTGGGCAACGGGCTGCGCGCCTCCATCTGGAGGGAGTTCATGGCGCGCTTCGGCATCCCCCAGGTGGCCGAGTTCTACGGGGCCACCGAGTGCAACTGCAGCCTGGGAAACTTTGATGGCAATGTAAGGGCCCACCATCCTCCCTCGTGTCCCAAAGGGTGACAGATCTGCTGGCCTGGGCAGGGTTGGAAACCCCAGTGGGCTGTTTGCTCCATCCACCCAGAGGGGTTTTGGCTGTTGTGTGGGGCCACCTCTGTGGTGTTCTGGGAGCGTGTAAGCAGTGGGTTCAGGTGGGATAAATGTCCTTGCTGCCCACAGCTCTGAGCTCTTTCTGTTCTAGGTTGGGTCATGCGGCTTCAACAGCAGGATCCTACCGAATGTGCACCCCATTGGTTTGGTGAAGGTGGATGAAGACACTATGGAGCTGATCCGGGGGCCGGATGGTGTCTGTATCAGCTGCAAACCAGGTGAGGACAACCACAGGGATAAAATCCCCTCAGCCCAATGGGAGTGTGACTATTTCATAATACCTCAGGATAATTATCCTGGATTTGTCTCTGCTCAGTTAAACCACACCAACCCTTTTTGCTTGGGGGGCTGGGGGTGGTGGTGTTTCCCCCCTTCATGCCCTCTTCTCACTGCAGGGGAGCCGGGGCAGCTGGTGGGTCGCATTGTCAGGAGCAATCCCCTGCAGCACTTCGATGGCTACCTGAATCAGTCAGCCACCAACAAGAAAATTGCCAGGGACGTGTTTACAAAAGGGGACGCTGCCTATCTCACAGGTGAGGCCAGCAGGACCCCTCTGTCTGCTGGGAATGAAGGAGAAAAGCACCTGTGTGGAAATGGCGACTCTGAGATGCTCCAGGGTTGCTCCTAGCCAACACCTCATGGTTTTGCCTGCTCATTGCTCTCCAATAGGGGATGTCCTGGTGATGGACAAATATGGCTACATGTACTTCCGAGACCGCACCGGGGACACCTTCCGATGGAAAGGGGAGAACGTCTCCACCACGGAGGTGGAGGGGACGCTGAGCCGCATCCTCAACCTGACGGACGTGGTGGTGTATGGCGTGGAGGTCCCAGGTAGCTGAGAGGGAAGTGGACAGTCAGGAGAGGCAAGCAGGCCTCCAACACTTGAGTGTTGACATGTCTTGCATGTCCAGATTGATGAGGGTGGGCTGAGGCTCCCTGTGGGCAAGCTGGGAAGAGGCCACAAGGGGTGTGGCTAGCAAGAATGAGAGGGTTTCTCACTCTCTCAAGCTTTGGTCTGATTCTGGCTGGTTTGTAAGGACCCTGTGTCCTCTCTGGCCATGACTGTGACTGCAGGGTGTCACTGGTAGCTCTGGCCACAGGGTGATGACACAGCAGTGACACAGCTGGATGTGCCAGCACTTCAGTACAAAGCAGGGTCTTGCTGGGGCAGGGCAGAGGAGAGATGATGCTACAGGGACAGTGTGTCTGAATGCTCTTCATTCTCTGCCTCTTAGGGGTTGAAGGGAGGGCAGGAATGGCAGCCATCGCTGACCCAGAGAACTCCTGTGACCTAGAAGACTTTTCCAGCAAGCTGAAAAAGGCCCTGCCACTGTATGCACGCCCCGTCTTCCTGCGGTTCCTGCACGAAGTCTCCAAGACAAGTGAGCCATGGCATGCACAGTCACACTGGACATGGAGCTGGGGGAGCCTGGGAGGGGAAAACCTGGTTACAGAGATCACTCTAGTGTGGGGATGGAGCCTCTCTGCCCCACAGAGTTCCTGAGGTAGTTTTGAGGCATGGGAACACAAGGCTGGGTCTGAGGCTGCACAGGTGTGGTGGGGATGGAAGTGTGTGTGGCTAGTGAGCCCTTAGTCCTTCTTCTGTCCCCATTTCAGGCACTTACAAGTTCCAGAAGATGGAGCTGCGGAAGCAGGGCTTTGACCCCGCACTGGTGAAGGACAGGTTGTATTTTCTGGACTCCAGGCAAGGCTGTTACCTGCCACTGGACCAGGCAGCGTTCAGCAGAATCCAGTCCGGAGACCAGAAGCTGTAACTGGTGGGGCCCAAGCCAGGCACCTCCCAAATCCTGCTGGGGAGAGGGGGCAAGGCAGGCACTGGGGAAGGAAAGGTTCACAGAGTGATACAAAAGGCACGCTAGAGATTTTATTTGACAAGTTTTACAGATAAGGGTTTGGGAGGAGCACACAGGGGATTGAGGGGAGGGGGATGGTCTCATACCAAAGCATTGACTCATTATGGCTTTATTTTCTGCTTGATACAGTTGTGGTGGTCCCATGCCATGGGAGGGGCAGGGCCCTGGCCAGTTGAGGAGGGGTGGGGTGCCCCTGCCATTCCACTTTGCTTTTCCTGTCTTTCCCTACCTTTTCCTGCCTGCAGCCACACTTCCTTGTGAAGGCCATGAAGGCACCAGTGCTGGGCTCTTCCCCACTTCTCTACCAAGCAGCCAGCTTCTCCTTGGCACAGGGACCCAGTTGGCAGAGGGAAGGTGGGTGCCAGGCGCAGCCCCTTCCCTCTGCTTGGCCTTGCTGGTGTTGTGTGTCTGCTGTGAATCAGGGGAGCAGGGTAGTGTTGGGCTCAGGAGGGGGGCAGAGGTGTGTTTCTGCCATGCCATCTCTCTCCTGGGGATGACATTTCTGTTTTTCACAAGTACACGCACATTATATTATATTATATCTATATATATATGTGTGTGTGTGTATATACATATATATATATATAATACACGCTGACTTTTTTTTTTTTTTTCAATCTTAATTTATTGTCCGTACTTTTGAATGTGTCTCGGGTTTGTGCAGTAGGTGGAGGGATAGCCCAGGCCTGTCCTCTCTTGGAGAATCCTTTTCTCTCACAGGGAGGTGGGATGCTCATCTGGGACTGATTCACCTCTTCCAGCGTGGGTGCAACTGTAAATGTCCTTGTGGCCTTGCTCCATGGTGGAGGACATGAGCAAATCCCACTATCTTGTGGACACTTCTCTGGGTCTTTTACTTCCATCTTTTATGGATGCAGCATTGTTTTGTGGACCTTCTTCCTTGCTGAAAGCAAGTGGGAGAGTGGGAAGAAGGGCTGAGTTTGCCTTTGCTTAGATGTACTCAGGAGGTAACTTGTCAGGGGAGAGAACATCCTCGGGAGGGTGGCCTCTGTGAGAGCCTGACTTCCTGTGCTCTGCATCCCTTCCCAAAAGAGCCCTCCCTGTCTCCAGCACCAGAGCAGGGCCCTGAACTGAAATGTCTGTGTGAAACACCTGACTTGTGCTATGTGAATTCCCCATGTTGTGTCTGATATGAAACAGCCTCAGCTACGGTGTTCAATTCCAGTTCTCAGAAGACAAGCAGAAATTTCTCTTCCAGAGAAAACTCTGGGTTGGGTTGTTTTTGGGGTTTTTTGATTTTATTTTTTTGTTGGTTTTTTTAAAATAATTTGTTTTTATGCTTTTAGCAGGGTTACTCCTTAAAACGACATCTGTCTTTTGTGAGGGCAGGGTGTGTCTGCTCTTCTAGCTGTGCTTCCACACCAACGTACCTGCCTGCCTCAGTCCGTCCTGGTCTCACAATTAAACACAAGTATGGGTCTATGCTGCTGTTTCCTACCTCTTCCTTGTACAGTCCTGCTTTGTGAGGGAAGGTGGAGGACTTTGATGGTTTGGGAACTGCCACTCCAGAGCATCACCTCCCTGTGTGCATTTTGGCTCATCTTAGAGCAGGGGGAACAAGCCCCTTGCTGCTGGGTTTAATGACTGTGTGAACACAACATGTTGATCAGACCCTCCCCAGTTTCCTCCACTAACTCTCCACACCCCGTTTTCCTTTGTTCTGTCCTCAGCATCACCATCCCAGTTCGTTCTGGCCCAGTTCTCCCTGTTTACCCTTGGACATGTGGTTCTCCCACCCCTCTCCTGTTCTCTATTTCCCCTTCCTGCTGCTTCTCTCTGTGTTTGCCCATGCTGAACTTCCCAGCTCATTTCTGCCCTTCCAGACAAGTTTTTTGGTAGCCATTTCACTTCCCCTGCTGCCAGAACCATCTTTTACACCTTCTGCATCCAACCCTGGTGATAGGAGAACCTGGCTCCTTCTTGGTGTGGGGCTGCCAGGGACAAATGTCTTCCATGAGCCTGAGTGAAATGTGTTGCCTGGTCAACCACACCATAAGAAGACTGTTGGAAATTTGCATCCTTTATATACCAACTTCACCTTTGGACATGTTCAAATGGGTGTCTTCTCCAGCATCTCTAAGCTGAAAGCTCTAATTTTAGTTTTTCAGTCCCCTGGACACTCTCAAGCGTCTGTCCCAAAGCAGGCGGTGGAAAACAGACATCATCCCCACAGCCCTGCAGCATCAGGGGACTCGGCCCTCAAACAGCGGCTTTGCCACGAAATTTACCAAGGAAATTTTGCATTTAGGGATCATATTTAGGGGCCGGGGCGCCGGTGCAGGGAGTGCAGCACTCTGCAGGTGCTCTGCTCCCACCTGCGGGCTCTGTTCCACTCGCAGCCGCCAGAGGAGGGCAGGCTGGGCTCGGCAAACGCCGCCCCTCGGGGGGACACGCTCCGGGGCTGTCACAGCCCTCGTGTGCTGCCCAGCAAGAGCGGGATGTTGGAGTGGGAGGGTACCACGCAGGGTGGGGGCCTGAGGTGAAGTTTTGGATACAGATGATGGTGCTGGGTGTGAGGCTGGTGGCAGTTCCAGGCACTGGTGTGCACTGTGCTCGGGCTCCTGGCTGGAGACTGTGCCTGATGGAGACCCAGACACTGGAGAGACTGTGCCTGATGGAGACTCGGGCAGCAGCAAGGTCACCAAGCTGTGCCAGGTGACCTTGCTGGTCACCTTGCTGCTGCCCAGGGGTGGTGGGCAGCGACCTGAACCACTGGGACTCATCCAACTTTCTGCTAAAGGCAGTGAGGAAAAGCTTGGCCACCCTGCAGTCAGATCTGGGGGTGCTCATCTGGAGATGGGTGGTTTGGAGTGGTAGAGGGGGATACAGGGGGACTGTGCTCCCTCCCTGCAGGAGATGGCTGTGCTGAAGAATGAGGAGTTGCAGGGCAAAACTCAGCACTGTGTTTCTGTGTGTCTGAGTGCAGGGTAGGTTAAAAAAGCCTACCAAAGGAAATTATTCATTCAGGGCCTGTTAAATGCAGATGTGAATAGCTTTGGAAGCTTATGGAGATATGGCTGTTACTTGTTTGCTGGTGAGCCCATAGAAATGGAGACTGGCTTGAGTTGCTGGGTTTTGGAGATGGATGGGAATTACAGGCCTGTGAGAGGAGCAGGATGTAGCCCTTGCTGGTGCCAGCACAAGTCAGGAGCTGGGCCTGGCTGGAGCATAGCCAGGAGCTCACCCCAAGCCCTGCATTTTGGGCTGGCTGTGAGGAAGGGGAGCTGCACAATTCAGGCAAGAGGAGCAGATGAGGCCTCTCCGAGGTGAGAGCTCCTGCTCTGGGGAGATGGGAGGTGCTGAGTCACTGGGAAGGAGCTCAGCAGACATCACAGAGGGCTCTGGTACTCAACCCATCAATAGCAGAGAACTGCAGGGATGTGCCAGGGGGCTGGGGCGTGCACATACCACACTCACCTCTGTGCCAGAGCATTCCCCAGGGAGAGGGGAGCCCAGGGAGGTGTGTTCACAGCCCTGAGCTCTGCTCAAAGGAGCCCCCCTGTGCAGCAAGGCTGGTGGGGGGGGGTTGGTCCCCTCTGGAGATCTGGTGCCTGGGGACCATTCACCATTGGCGCTGTTTGTCCTGACTGAGGAGGGTTGTGTGCACTTGGCAGTGCTTCAGGATTCCCTGGAACACCCAGCTACACCAATCAGAGGTTTTCTGCTGGCTGTCAGCTTTGGGTTGAAATCCTGGGGCCTTTCTAAAGTCCCAGCTCCTCTGGAAAAATGAAGTTTATGTGCAAGTGTCCCTGCAGCTCTTGGCCCAGAATATAAGTGCAGGCGTGGAGCTGAGCCTGGGATCAATGCTGAGACAAAACACTTCCAGCAGAGAGGTATTTGGAATGAAGTAGCTAGTGTTTAATCATCTGATTTTTAAAAATATCTTTTTATTTGTGCAGTTTTAAGGAGGAGGCTAATTGAATCCTCTATGATTAGAGACACCTTGTGAGACATCCCTCCCCTTTGATCAATGCAGTAGTCTGGCTCAACAGCTGCCTGTAGATAAAAAGTCCTATACATAAAGTATGAGGTATTGTTCTATTTTAATTAAAACACTTAAAATTCTGTTTGCATGAGGTTAAGAAAACATTAAAATCCTTTCCAGGGTTATTATCAAACTGCTAATTTAAGCAAAGCCAAAGAGCTTTACAAACCAAATGTACTGTTCCCCATGGAGATGACTGCTTCTCCCAGACCCTGTGTCCTGGACAGTGACAATATATCAAGACAAAAAATGTGGCAACTTTTTTTCTGGTCTGCTCTAGGTCCAGCCCAGCCAGGCCATGCTTAGTGTGCAAAACTGAAGTGTATTTTAGGCTTAATGCAGATGGGGGCTTTGCAAGTTGCTCAGAACCTTTCTGGGTGAAATTAATTTCTGCTGCTGAGAAAGTCTGTGACAATCTTTAACACTGCATCTCGCCAGCCTCCTCCTGCCACTCTTGGTGTACCAGAGCCTTCCCAAACAATGACAGCTGCCTGCTCCTCTGCACTATGGGGAGCTGGCTTTGCCTTTAAGCAGTGACAGGGAAATATTCTGGACTAAAGAAGAGACTATCCTTTGGTGCACTCTTTAGAAATGGAAATACTTGATTCCCCTGAGTGGTTCCAGTGTAACCAGGAGCAGGGCCAGGAGTGGTTTCTCCCTCTCCAGTTTGAAGGGACTGTGTGGCCAGGGATTCCACCAAAATGATGGTCTGTGAATGTCTCATCATGCTGTGTGAGAGGGAAGGGACAGCAGCTTTCCTTCCCAAAGCAGAGAGGCTTCAGAAGGGAAGAGAATGTCCTTAGGGCTGTTTGCTGCTGAGCTGCTGGACAGCACAGGATGGTGGGACTGTGCAGCTGAGCGAGCCTCAGGGAGCAGGGATGGGTCCTGCTTTGCTTTTTTTGAACCTGGTGCATTTCAGTGGCAAATCTGACCTTCCAAAGTAACCTTGGGTTTGATCTGCTTTTCTCCTGGCTCATTAAAAATCCACATATAGGCACAAAATCATGGCAGGCCAGGCTCTGGGGGGGCTTTGGGCAGTGGAGATCATGCAGTACAGGCTGGGAACCCCAGGAATTGCAGGCGATGGTGATGCTGTCCAAGGCCAGGAGGTATTCCTGCTCAGGATGTGGGTCACTGCCCAGATCTTCCCTGATCCCTGACAGATGATCCCAGGTTTGTGAAGCGGGAAATGACCCCTCCTGTTACAGCCCTGCCTTCCTCCATTCCCATCCCTGAGGGTGCCGAGCAGCCTCCCGGGGCCCCCAGCATCCCGGGCAGGATTTGTGCCCTGATCCTGCCCTGGAGGTGACACCTCCCACGACCCGCCCGGGGCTGTGCCAGGGGGCCCGAGGAAGTGAGGGCAGCCAGAGCCCTGCTCCTGCCCCCGGCCATGCGAGTGGCTCGGCAGGCCGCAGGAAGAGGCTAACAGCGGCGGGCGAGCCACCCC